CTTTTAGGGTTGAAACTCCTTATAGGTGATCGTCCACCCATCTATGCGTACCTCATGTGAAGTAGTTTTAGCTTGAGAAGCCTCTAACTCTTTAAAGTCTAAATTTATTTGACCAGGGATTAGAGATGGATGTGACAATGTAGTAGAACTCAAATGTTGGTCACTTCCCAATACTGGCTCCAGTGAGTTTGCCTTCCTCTTCTTATCCACATTGGCCTCACAACTCGGGTTCACCTTGACTTGCTTCTTAGTTGGCTTGTTTCAAAGACAAGAAAAACCATAATGTTCACAACAATGACATTGATACTGACTTTCGAGCGTATTACTACGAACACCTTTATTGAACTTCATTTTCTTTCAAGCTTCTGCCACTTGTCTCTTCATTGGTCCCTTTGGTATGTTGGTTTGACCCTGTGGCAAGCACTGTTAAGAACTCCCATGTTGAGTCATTTCTTCTAGTACTTGTTGTTGCATAGCTACAAGCTTCTCCTTGTCGAATGCAGTTAAGGACAACGTAGCTTGGTCCTCCTGACCTCTAATGCTGGGGTCTCCTCATTATGACCCATCTATTTAGACGAAGAGAGAGGATTGAGAATAGAGACAATGTTTTTATAACAGAACAGAGACCGAAGTGAGCATATCTTTTAGAAAATAACAAGGTTGGAGAGAAAGCAAGAAATAAGCAAAGATGAAAGCATACTAAAACGTCCAGTTCTATCTAGACTTGTGTTCTACAGTCAGCATTGCTTTGATACCACTTTGTAGCACCTGATTTTAAGAACAAAATCAGATACACACCGTATGTGGGCCCAGGAAGTCAAATCTCACATATAGCTACAAATAAGGGTAATATCGAAAGACAATGCTCAATATATAATGTACTTAGTATAAAGGATATAACCTTAGATAGCAAACAACAGAAAGATAACTCCGATCTTCGGGTGAAGACTCCAATTCCACAGGGAGAACTGATTAGTTGATTACAAGCCTAATTCCTTCAAACTCTAGCAATCTGGTACACATCCGGAATTTTTATCCAAATAATTAAAAAATAAAGCAAGCGTAAATACATGTCGTACTCAACAAATATAACATGGGGTTTATGAGGCTTAAAAGGCTAACACTGGTTTAACTGCGATTAGCTTTTAATTGTCATAATTTTAGTATAGGAGTAGCAACAAGTTTATCGTAAGCCCATATAAACACATGATCAGGTAAATATGAATAATAAATAGCATAAACAATAATCATTAGTGAGCATCTTTATCATCAGTATCATCAGTGTTCATCATCTATTCCGTAAGGGTCCAAGGTCGCTCGTGACCGTGAGCACGGCTGATATACCAGTTTTACACTCTACAGAGGTTGTACACTTTCACTGTGAGTCGTAATTTACCCTTTCGCTCGAGGTGATCAGCCTTTTAACCCACTACTAAGAAAGGTTGGTAGGGTTCACTATGAAGCCTTTCAAAGGTTCGTCTTACAAGTTAGGGCTATTAAATTCACTCGACAAACAGATATAGGAATCCCCTGTCGAATGGCACAATAACACGCAGCCTATATACATAAGAGTAGAGGATGTCCTATACTCGATTCGGCAAGCCATTCTTACGTCATAAAGGTAACCTCTAACAAGCTAAAAAGGTCCTCATACTTGACTAAAGGTAGAGCTATGTAGCCCTCACAGCTGTACTGTAAGTCCTGGATGTTCGTTTATAGATAGGTCCTTAGCAAGAGGAATCTAGAGGACCATAAAATAGCCCAATGCTCTAGTCCCCTTATTCCATGTTGCTAAAAAGCATCTTTTAATGTTTATTGTATATTTCATTAGTCAAGTTACAAAATCATGGCTTTAGTTGAGCACTAGCATTATACTACCCAATACAATACCCCATAGGTGACAAGGAATCCATGATATCAAATAGCTAGAAAAATTTACTAGGGTTGCCAAGGTAGACAGATCCATATGATTAAATTATCAAAGTGAATAGGACAACAAGGATGATCCCATGCTATACTTGCCTTAAACCTCTGATCTTCTTCTATTGAATTATAACCTCCAAATGACTTCTTCTGGATCACCAACTTCTTCTATGTCACCAACGTACTTCTCACTGACTGAACATGATCATAGAACACCACACAAGCATCCATGCAATCATACACGAAGCAAACAATAGAACTAAATCAGAACAGTACACCAAATATATGAAACAGCAAGTGAAAAAGTTTTAAACACGTTCTACACGTTACTACGAACACACAGATGCAAAAAACACTCTAATCGGAGCTATAACAAAAAAGTTATGAATTTAACAAGATTTTCTTTAACAAAATAATAGATTAAATTTTAACCTCAAATTTTAAAAGTTGAAAATATATTTAATAGTAATATAAACATGTAGATTACGCAATTACGAATCTAACACAACTGAACGGATCAAATCGGAGTTAAAACAGAGAAGTTATTGCCTAAAGAAAACTAGTGGCAAAACTGTAAATAGATGAAAGCGCATTTTGGATCTAACCGAAGAAACTACGTTTTCAGAAGAAGAAAGCGTATTTTGAATCTAACAGAGGAGAGTTACGCTTTTTGAAAGAGAAAACGTATTCTGGAAGTGCGCCATGGACTGTGGATTCTATTACGCGAAACTGCAGGGGCTCTTTTGCAAAACGGCCGGTCGAATCGGTATTACGTGATATCGGCCGTTGAATCAGGATCGAATGGCCCAAAATAGATCAGGAGGGGGATGGCATGGCCGGCCGGCCGGAACAGGCCCGAGCGCGGTGGCGCCATGGCCGGGAACAAGCGAGCTCGGCGGAGCTCTTGGAGAAGGGCCTACGGGCCACTATTGGATGAACCGATGGCACCAGGAGATAGAGGAGGGAACGGAAATCATGGCTAGGTAGCTTACCGTAGTGCGGAGCGACGGAGGGCGGCGCGGTGCATGGTGAAGCGGGCGGTGATGGCGGCGGCGCTAGGGTTTGCGTGGCGCGGCGTCTTGGCGTGGAGTCTGTGGCTTAGAACAGGATGGGGAGATGCGGCTCGGTCGGCGGCTGCTATTGATGAGGGCAAGTGGCTTGGGTGGCACGGCAAGGGAGGAGGTGTGGCGGCGGCGAAGAGTCCGGCTCGGTCTCGTGCGGGGAAGACGATGACACCTGACCAGCGGACCTGGTTGGTCAGCGGCAGAGAGTGAGAAGAGAGGGAAGAGGGAAACGGCGCGCGGGCCGGTACGGTGCTGGGCCGGTGGCGCGCGGCTTGGGCCTACGGTCTGGCAGGGCGGGGAGAGGGAGAGCGGTGTTGGGCCGCGGGAGACGATAGGGAAGGAGCTGGGCCCACGGCGCTCTGGCCCAAGTAGAGAAGGAGGAGGTGAGAGCGGGCCAGGCCGAGGGAAGGAGAAGGCGGTGGGGAGAAGCAGGCCGAGTGGGCCAAAACAGAGAGGGAGAGGTTTTCTATTTTTTCTTTTTTTTTCTTTAACACATTTTTGAAACCAAATTCAATTTAAATTTAAATCCTTTTGAAAATTTGAATTTTATACAAAGTCACACATTCCAATAATTCTAATACACCAGCATGTATGCACAAAAATATTGCTAAGCATTATGATAAATTTTAATTTAATAAAAAAATATTATTTACCTATTTTTCTTGAGCATAAAATACAAAATTAAATCAATTTATATCTATTTCGAAAAGAGAAAATTTGAGGGTGTTACAACATTGCTCCAGTTGATGGATGATTGGTCTGTTTGGAGCCACTTCTCCTCGGCTTATGGTGAAAAAAAAAAGCTGAGAAAGACCAGTAAACGACGCAATTCTGAGGCAACTTCTTCCACTCGTGTGGGTTGCGGGCTCCCCTTTCTTCTGGGTCGCGGCCTCCGATGGTGGTGGTGATGAGTTCTTTTTCCTAGACTAGAATCGACGTGCCAATCGGTTAGCTTCTTTAATCTTTATCCTGAAATTCCTATGGAAGCCAGCGACGGGAGAAAGACAGCTTTGATTAAAGTGTGGTTGAGATAAGTTGTCCTAAACATGGTCAATATTAAGTTTACCGTCAATGTTCGTAACTGTTCCGACCTAGGGCTCGTTGGTTTGGGCTGCTAAACTTTAGGAGCTATTAAATGGTTTAGTCACTTCTAGTAACTCCAGAGTTACTAGAGAGGACTAAATCCCTTTTAGTCATATTTAGTCATAGTGTTTAGTAAAAAAGTTACTAAAGAGATTAAAAGCTGCTAAATTTAGGCCCTCCACAATGTGTTGCTTAAGTGATGCCTAGAAAGGACAGAGAAAAGTAGAGCACCGCTCCTAACACTGTGAGAGGTGCTGCCAACTCTGAGCGACGCCAGGAAAAGAGAGAGCGGTGAAAGCTCTTGCGCCGGTTCCAACTTCTTAAAAAATTATAAATAGACTGTAGAAGTTCATCCACTTCAGGAGGAACAGGAGGATTGGGGAAATTTCTAAAGCGCGACTGAAACGGATGGTGGGAAAGACGATGATATTTTATTAAAGCTGTGGGTCCCACTTAAATGTGTAGCATCGGTTCCACCTACCTTATCCATTGCAGTTTTACTTGGCTGGTGCTTAATTTGTTGTAGCTGGGCCCACAAATTTTCTGGCCTCACTCCCGCATTGTGGACGGTCTTAGGAGTAGATGTCGGCTTCTTTTGTATGGCGGCCCCCGCACGGATACGATGCCTGTTCCCACGAGAAAGTTCCTCCTCGCACGCCGGATGCATATTCTGCCGACGCTCCTGGCCGCCACAGCGCTCGCGAGGCTTGAGGCCAGCCCAGGCCGCGCGACTAGACTGGCAAGCTTGCCACGCGTGTGGGCGTGACCGACTTTCTTGGACCTCGCGGCAATGCTATTGTTGAGGGGCGCCGACGGCGAGAGTCGTCGCAGTATACGGCCATCGCGCACGCTGGCGAGCATGAGGTCGATCGATGGTGCCACGTACGTACGGCCATCACAGGGGCTACTGGGTCCCCAGGGGTGTAGGCCATGATCCAGCCCAGAGGTGGTCCTCGAGATCCTCCTTCGCCTCGACATCCGCGACGCCGTCCGCACCTCCGCGCCTGGCGCCACCGCTGGCGTCATCTCCCTGTCCCCGACTTCAGACGCTGCTCCGTCGGCCGCCTCGGCGTGGTTTCCGCCGCTCAGTCCGTCCTCCTGCGCCACCTTGCCCAGGTGGAAGACTTTGCTCTCGATGGGAGTTCGCCGCCGCTTCCCGAGGCCGACCACCCGCGCCTCGACGACCTGCTCATCCATCTCTCGCCCCCTCGTCATGCCCTCAAAGGTCTCGTCCTTAACCTCCCGTCCTACAAGCTGCACTCCTCCGTCTTCTCCTGCGTCAACCTCGACTACCTCGAAGTTAAAGGTTGTCTGCTCCCAGGCTCTACCCCGGGCTTAGTGGCTTCACTCCCACTCCTCCATCTCACACGGCTTCGTGTGCATTACACTCGGGAGTTGGAGCCCCATCTGAACTCGGCTCAGTTTGACGCGCTCGCGGCTCTGATTTCTGGTTGCCCGGGATTAGAGCAATTGGTAGTAATTGTTGGTCCAGAGGTGGCTGGTGTGAAGCTAAAGATTGCTGCACCTCGCCTTCGCCAATTGGAGATTCGTGCACGTTCTGCTGATTGGATGGTGGAGTTTCAGAGTCTGCTTCCCGATCTTGCTCAAGCCAAGCTTCAATTGCCATTTTTCTGCTATGCTCAAGAAGGTGGGGTCGAGGCTTCTGCAAATTTTACAGAGCATTTCGCAGGTGGAGAAGCTGGAGTTGCTTGATAGTAATCCCTTGGTAAGAAGATAATGATTGCTTCTCACGTCTTTGTTTTTCTCTTGAATGCGCAAAAGATTTGCGTATCATTGTAACTAAGAAGAAAAAGAGTTTAACCATATACACGGCACGCTTCAATGAGCGCCCTAGGAGATCTTACAGTTATGACTGAACCTTCCTAGTAGACTGTTTTAAACTTCGATATTACGTAAAAATAAACAACCGAACTAAGAGCAGCGCAGTAATCTACGAAGCTAGGCGTCTCCACTATTGGCCGCGCGACTCTGCTCCATCATCCGAGAAGAGTCTTCTACCCGTCGTAGCATTGGTCACCGGGAACAGCACGTCCAGTGCTTCCACATCGCTCGACGTCAACTTCCTTGCGAAAAAGTCGTCGTAAGCTCTCTTGGACGCGGATGAGATTGGAGCTGCCGGCGGTGCAAAGCCCATCCTCCGCATGAGGAGCACCTCGCCCCGCTTGGAGGTCAGAATGTGCGCCAGTGGCTGAGCCGCAATCCGTCTGCTCCGTTTTGGCAGGGGTTGCCTTATGGTTGCCACCTTCTGCCTGGGTGGGCTGGCGATTAATGGCGGCATTCGCTCGAGCTGCACCTCCTCAGTGAACCGTGCGAGACGTCGAGCAGCTTGGCGCGGTGTGGGCGTCACGTCGCGGGGGGTGGTGCAACCCTCTTCGACGCCGGGTGCTCCCGCTCGTGGTGGCGTGAGTTGTGGCGGCCCCTGTACTGGCGACATCAGAGATAAGTCTGTCGTCCACTGAGCAGCCATCGTCGGGGAACACGTGTCCGCCACTGGTGCTTCAACCTCCTGAGGGGCTGTCATAGCAGGCAGACACTCAGGTGTTGCTGCTCTCATTGGCCGTCTCACGACGAGCGAGGCGGCGAGCTCCTCCAGCATCGGGTCGAAAGAGATGACCTGACCAATGCGGGAGGCCCCGCACTCACGCACAGCGCCAGCGCCACCGGATCTGGCTCGGGGAAGCTTAGTGCAGCAGTAGAAGTAGGTGCCTTGTCGGCGTGGTCGGCAGGCGCACCCGTGCCGATCTCCTTCGGTTTAGTCTTGCGTCGCCGTTGTCATCACCGTCGTCTCCCACCGGCGCCCCCCACGGCCCCCGTTGCGGCACCCTCCGCCCTGCCGCGCGGCGCGTGCTGGGAGGACGTAGGGTCGTCGCGAGCAAAGTACCGTGGCAGGTTGGCACCCACCACCGTCGAGGTCGAAGCAGTCCTTCGCCTGCAGTCCTTGACGAGGTGCCCGAATCTACGACAGCACAGGCAACGCCGCGGCAACCGACAAGTCGCTACTCGGTGCGAGTAGGAGAGACAGTTGAAGCATCTGCCGTGAAGCTCTGTCGGAATCTTCTTGACCTGCGAAAGTTGCTTCTGGCTGGGGCGAGGCTCCGTCGAGGCAGCAGCAGATCCTGTGACCTGCCGGGGGAGGATCTCACACCACCCATCGATGTTGGGGGCGGAGGCCCGTCCACGGCGGTCGAGGCGTTGGTGGGCAGGGAGACGGCCATCCACTGGGCGCATAGGCAAGCCGTTCACCAGCTGCAGGCGTGGCCGGCTGCACTTCCTCCTCCTACGGACATGCCCCTGTCGGCCCCGTTCAGCACCAGCACGGCTGTGCAAAGGCCCCGCTCCGTGGCGACCCAAAACTGCGGCCGAACGAGTCTGGGGGCGCACGGGGGACGCTGAGGCCGGCTTCGCCGAGCGACGAGTGGCCTCCAGGTATATCGTGGGGTGGTCGTCGTCGTCGTCGTCTTGCCACCATAGAGAAGTTTCCTACCATTGAATTCTTATCGATGCTCACAATATTAAGGTTTAGAAATTTGAATTGCCATGAGAGCCTGGTATATTCAGTATTCTCACCAAAGTTTTTATTTCCTTTAATCACAAATAAAGCTCATTCAGGTTTGTCCGAAGTCAAACAGTATTTATATTTGACCATTTATGCCCAAAATTGACAACACTATTGGTGCTACCAGATTTATCATGAAAAAAAAAACTTTCATCACATATAACTCTTTGTATTAAGATAATGTTTTTATTCATATTGCTAACAAACTTTGCCTATTTTCTGTGTTAATATATTTGTTTCACGGAATATGTACACAAATGTAGTTCTATATATCCAAAAAACTGATACTACTTTTCCCTTTGAAGTACTTTTTGGGGTTTGTACTTTTCTTGCTCAAGAGGGATATTCTAGAATAAGCACATACAGGTTATATCTTTTGCTTTTTGTATTGCTCCATTTTCTGCTATTGGAGCAACCTCGGACTTTCATAACTATAGGATCCTTTTTCATTAAACTGACATGTTTTTCCATATTTGTTCTCTCTAGGTTGATTTTCAAGCTATGGTGCCATTCAAAATCCCAACTAAATTTGAAAACTTGCAATATTTGACAACAGATGCTGATCTGGGTGATGCAGCACATATTGTTTTATTTTTTGAGTTCTTAAGATGTTGTCCAAACCTAAGGGGGCTTAAGATTAAGGTAAACATATTATCTGTTATGAGTTTCTTTTCTTCGTTTTTGTTATCACTTAACTAATTTCCATATGGAAAACAGTTCCCTGTTTCAGGGCATGGTTTTCATTATCATTTCGAAGAAACCCAAGAATTTTGGAATACACATGGGTATGGAGATTTGTTTCGGTGCCTGCGCATTATGGAATTGATCGATGTGTGCCTATCATACAATGAGTTGCAGTTCATAAAGTTGGTTTTATCAAAAGCTCAAGTGCTAGAAAACTTCACTATTGTTCACCGCGCTGAGAATGAAAGTTCCAGCTTGGAAGCTTGCATTGAAATTCTGAAGTTTAAGAGAGTATCACAAGTAGCTCAAATTAAGTACGAGGTGGCACCCGGACATTAAGTGGTAAGTTCCCAGTGAGTTTGGTGGGTTGCTTGGATTTCCTGTATCTGTTCCTCGAAAAACGAAAGAGCCTTTCTATGTTACGTGCTCAACTGGTGATTGTTAGCATGACCGCGTTTTAGATTTGTACAACTATTTAGTATCATACTATCATCCGCTTCCAAATTCAGCTGCAACGTTATCTAACATTGTAGCATATCTGAGAACCATGACAACAACCACAACAACAACAGCATAGCCTTTCAGTCCCAAGCAAGTTTGAGTAGGCTAGAGCTGAAACCCACCAAGAGCCCAAGTCCTGAGAACCATGACAAGAAAAAAAAATGGAATGCCTAAATAGAGAACCTTTCTACCTGGTCATAGAGGGAAAGATACCCAACTTTCCTAATATGAAAAAAAAAATGATCCTGCTACCTTGAGAAAAGGAGAGATTATCTTTCTACTATGTTTCCATGCACCAATTATATATCTCCTTTGCAAGTTGGATTTTGAAAAACGAGGATGTAATTTGTCGATGGCATAACGCATAGTTGCTAGGTTGTAACATTCTTCCTAGCTTATTTAACTGTTTTAGGTATAGAATGTAACTTTTAAGCATTGTAAGTAGTTTTTTTTTTCAAACTGCTTTTTACATATTCTTAGTTGAATTTACCGTGTTTCCAAGCACAGGATATAACCTGTGGATAGTTGGAAGTAACATTTGGTCAGTAGGATCAAGTCTGATTCAAGAATCAACGACATCCACATGGACTCACCTGCCACTCTGCCAGCAACCAGTAAGGACATAACCCCTGCCATCTTCTGCGATATAAAAAAAACTCGGCCTACAGAAGTTAAGATAGCCCCAGGCATTACATTAAGAAAAGAAGACACTTCAAACCCTCGCCGCCCATACACAGTGGCACCGTAGCCCATGTAAGAACGACCACGACCGGGGCCTGAAAATTTGCTCCCACGAGGAATCAAACCCAAGACCTGAAGAGTGCTACTCAAGCCATCTAACCAACTCAGCTAGATGCCCTTTCGCCATCCTGAGCAATATCAATGCCATCCTTCCCTGAATCTTCCTGGTAAGGAGGATCTACATTGGTTCACACCATCCTTTATGGTGGTTGACATTTTTCCTAGCACACCTTGGCCAATGCATCTACTAACACTCCTACAATTCTCTTTTTTTTTGTCTCATCAAGTTTCCCTTTTCCTTATTCAGTTACCGAATATAACAGCATGAATTATCTCTGTTATTCACTGGAAACTGAACGGAGCGTTTAATAGTTTGTCATCTGGACAGCTTCTAGTAGTACTTTGTGCTCCCACTCCACAAACTTTACGTTTGTCATCTGGAGGAAGTGTTATCCAATGATGATTCTCCTAGATAGGCAAACCATTGAATGCAAGACACCATGTAAACACCTTGACTTTCCGTGTTACATCAGTATAGTATTTGTTGGCCACAGGATCACCGGCTCAGGTGAGTCGACCACTCTCCAGTCTTACCGAGCATCCGCTAGTGTTGCCGAACACTCACTAGCTATGCCGACCACGAACAAGCGTTGTCCGACCACACACTATGGCTAGAGGTAGAAGAAGAGGGAGAACAGATATATACAGTACAAGTTCCAGCGTTGGCCGGAGCCATGTATAGGAGATGGCAAATCTGAACTCTCTTTACTGAGTTGCAGTGCCAAACTATTTATACATCTCTATCCATCTAGTCCTAGTACAACTAACATGCTGCTACAATCACTAGATAACACAGCAGGACTGACTTCTGCGCTTGTCCTTGCATATGGCTACAGTGACGCAGGAGAGCCGTTCGGCGCCTGCCTTCTACATCGGCTACAGTACCACAGCATGAAGCCTTTTCGGCGCCGTCTTCCCTTGCTGTGTGTTCACACAAGGAAGCAGTAGATTATCTAACAATTCTTCCCCTGATCCTACTGCTATCCCTTGTACCCCCTCCATGCCGATCATCTCTTTCAGCTCTGTGAGTCGAAGACGTCCAAGCGGCTTGGTGACGACGTCCGCGAGTTGCCGACCAGTTTCGATGAACTCGATGATGATCTGCCCTCCATCAACACAGTCCCTGAGGAAGTGGAACTTCACGTCGATG